GCGATGGGGGAGCGGGCTAGCCACCAACCCCTCTCCCTTGCAGGAGCACTGGGTGGGCAGAACGGGGCAAGCACCAGTACTCCGACTCCACCGAGCCCGGCCTCAACCAAATACACAGGGAAGGGTTGGAACTTAACTTCATTTACCACTTTGAGTCTTATGCCAATGCAATAAACAGAGATATCAGTTGGCGCCCACACTGCCTTCCACATCTGAATAACGTAACCATCCAACCAAACAACGGAGCTGACAATGGTTCTTACCAGCCTCTTGGAACTATTTCAACCATCTCCTCCCCATCTTTTTTTCTCATTTATTCCCTTCTTTCCCCCTTCCTCTTCCCCACTCCAGTCATCTGAAGAAGTGGGTTGTACCCAAGAAAGCTCAAGACCCCATCTACATGTCTGGTTAGTCTGTATGGTGCTACTAGACTATCCGTTGTTTTTTAAGTTTGTCTAACTCAGCTCCCGCTCTGAAGCTTTTGACCACGCTTCACAATCATCCTTGGTGAGGACGTGTTGAACATGTGTTTAAAATGATTTCAATCTTGTACTGTATGTAACGTCTTTTGGTCAGCAAAAAAACATCCCCTGAACCTAACTTCTGCTATTTCCAGGACATCTCCTCTGGCAACTGGATTCACTTAACATTGTCTTACTTCAAGTAGCATTATTCAGGAACATAACCATGATGCTTAAGCAAGGAATTGCTATACACATATCCCGGGGGGACAGGGGGTGAAATACTTTCAGGTCCATTACTTGTTCAACAGGGTGTTAAACAGCATCTGCAGCCGAGCTTTAGATCTATGAGAACTAGAGTTACAAAGTGATAGGTCAGCTGTGCATCCTATTTAGAACCACAAGTGGGCAAATAGGCTTCAACAAAGAGAGAGAGAAAAAGAGGGAAATCCAGGACAGTTCTGTGTTAAATATAAATGAATTCAAGATAAAGGAAAAGTTTTCAAAGATTTAATGGGGTTTGGGAACAATGGTAATTCTGGAATTGGATTAGTTTAAAAAACGTCTCAGAATATAATGAATACCTCAGCTGGAGATGGTACCTGTATATCCTGAGCTGGAACAGCCTTCCCTGCGACTGCCTCTCAGGTAGCCATGATCCACACTGCTCTGACCCAGCTGGCCCTGGGGTGTGCCCCATTTATAACAGCTCTGTGCACTCCCAGCAGGCTTTGCTCAGCCTGTGAGAGAAAAGTGGACATCGACCTTTCAACAGGTTGGAGACCCACCTGTCTGGGCTGCTGGGCTATTTACGCAGCTTTCGGAGTAAACAGCAATTAAGGGCCCTTCCCAAAGGGAGAGGAGAACTCCTGGGCTCTGGGCTGAGTCAGGGAGGAATTGGCTGCTCTGTGCATTTGTGTGTAATTAACAATTGTGTTAATTGGGAAGAAAACGATGGACAATGTGAAGCTCTTCAAAGGGTCTGATGCCCTGGAAATGCGCAGCATGTGTGAGCAGAGAATAGGTGGACTGATGTGGATAGATCTGTCTGTGGGATGATGCTCTCTGCAGACAGTACCTTTCACTGAATGATCAACACCCCCAGTTTCCTCCACCCAGGAAACTGACTCTGAACATATCCCCATTGTACAGATGGGTAAATTGAGGCATGGGGAGACATGAATTGACCGAGATCACCTAGAAACTTGAGTCTCAGGATGTGAGATGGAATTCAGCTATCCTGACTTCCCTGCTGTAACGAGGGTGTCTCTGTCATGCTGGGAGGAAAATGGACTCCCGATCGGGCAGGGCCTGTTCATTGGATGGGGGGCAGAGGAAAGGCTGGAAGAGGGCGCCTGAGCCTCGCTCACCTTCTCCCGGTGAATCTGAGGGTTTCAGAACAAGCTGGAGTGTGGTAGCTTCCCCCTCCTGTGTGGAGTGAACTCCGGGACTCCACTTCCCCTCCCTCTCACACACCTGCCCACCCAGCACAGTCTCTGGGGTCGCTCTGGGGGGATGGAGTCACTAAAAGTAACACCCACAGCATGTTCCTGTGGGTTCAGTGATGCCGGGGGCCTGTACTGGGACACAGACCTTGCGCTCCCTCTGGAGCTGCTGTGGAACAAGAAGGTCCTCTAGGCAGGACAGAGGTTGGATTGCCATTTGCATTGGGTTTGTTTCTCTGCCTCTCGGTTCATTCCCTCCCTTTGTCTCCCAGGAGAACTGGAATCGGATGTGCCAGACTGAGTCAGACTTTCCCGTCCTGCCTCTGCTCCTCATTCCACGAGGAATAACGGAGTTCCAATTAGGATCTCTACTTCGAACTACCTACTCTGTGCCGTGTGTTGCCACGGGCACGGAGTTTGGACTAAGGGAACATGCAAATGAACATGCAATGGTGGCGCCCAGGAATGTGCAAAAATGGTGGCACCCGGGAACATGCAAATGAAGCCCGGGATATTCAAATCCCGGGCTTCATTTGCAACTCTGGTTGCTCTAATTACCCTACCTAGCTTGAACTAATGAGCTAGTGTAGACATACCCATGGAGGTTATGTCCATCAGTGGCTTTTAGCCAGGATGGGTAGAAATGGTGTCCCTGGCCTCTCTTTATCTGGATGTGGGTGACAAGAGAGGGATCATGTGAGGATTACCTGTTGTGTTATTTCCCTCTGGGGCATCTGGTATTGGCTACTGTCCGAAGACGGGACACTGGGCTAGATGGACCGTCAGTCTGACCCAGTATGGCCGTTCTTATGCTCTTAAACAAAAAAAGTATTTCTTGACAGATAACCTATGGAACTTTTTGCAGAGGATGTTGTGAAGGTACAAAAACTCGATAGGTCAATCAATGACCATTCACCAGGATGGGTAGGGATGGTATCCCTGACCTCTGTCTGCTAGAGTTTGGGAGTGGGCAACAGGTATACATCACTTGATACCGACCTTGCATTGTTCTTGCCCTCTGAAGTACATGCCATTGGCCAGTGATGGAAAAAAGTAGCTTAGGGTGTGTCTAGACTACTGAGTTTTGTCGACAAAAGTGGACTTTTGTCGATATAACTATACCTGCGTCTACACTACCACTGAGTTCTGTCGACATAACGTTGACAGAACTCAGCAGTTTTGTCGACACTGGGAAACCTCATTTTACGAGGCATAACACCTTCTGTCAACAGAGTTCTGTCGACAGAAGGTGTTATTGCCTGTAGGGTTGCATCTAGACTACAGGGTTTTGTCGACAAAACGTCCGTCGACAAAACCCTGTGGTCTAGACGTAAACTTAGATGAAAGATAGTAGGCGAGATGGACCGTTGGTGTTTCCCAATATGGACATTCCAATATTCTTAAATAGACCCCCCCCTTCCCAGGCTTTGTCTACACTGCACGGGTTTTGTGCAAGAAGAGATCTTCCGCAAAAACTTCTTGCCCAAAATCATGTCCACTGCTCAACAGTGCATCGCAAAAGCGAAGTGCTTTTGTGCAAGAGAGCATCCACTCTGCAAGGACGCTCTTGCGAAAGAAAGCTCTGATTGATTCCCATTCACAGAATGGCCAGCAGAGCACCTGTGCTTTTTCTTTTCACACAAGAAGCCCTAGCGGAGCATCCGCACACACCTGTTTGCGCAAGAGCTGTAGCGCAAAACGGGGTTATTCCTCATGGGGAGGAATAACTCTACCGGCAAAAGCTCTCTGTCCTGTCGATTTACTGTATTTCTTTTGCGCAAAAATGCATTTGAGGTGTGGACGCTCTGCCGGTTTTTGCGCAAAAACCTTGTAGTGTAGACATACCCCATATGTATTTGCCCCCCAATGCAACTGACTCTCTCCCCAGAGCTGAGGTAGTACCCTGGATACCTGACAGGGCCTCTCTTTCTCTCTCTTCAGAGTTAGCAGCAAAGTGGACCTCCCAAAACCAGGTCTCCCTCCTCCGGCAACATCTGAGGTCCAGCAGGACCAGCGGTTTGTGGACCAGGAAGTCCTGGCAAGAGGGCTGGTGGCAGAGTAGGGGCCTGAACTGGTGACAGAGCCCAAGTAGCACAGCACAGGTTGTGGCAGACCCAGTAGCGGGGCTGAGGCCAGAGACATAGCAGCTGCATATCCCCAACAGCAGGGCTGGAGTCAAGGACGCAAGGCATGGGGGGCAGCTGAGGCCGGCAGCAGGAAGGGAAGGTGGTTTGGAGAGCTGGTAGCAGGCAACCTCCTCAGGTCTAGCAAATTCCCTCGTTCGGGACCGGGCAGTTCCCCCTCCTCAGGTCTAGCAAATTCCCTCATTCGGGACCGGGCAGGTCCTGAGAGAACCGGCCTAGAAAGGTCCAACCTGTATCGGAGCTGAGTGGATTGAAAATGAATTTAATTTTCCTCCTTTTATGCAGGAACTAGGAACAGTTGTTCCTGTCAGCGAACTGATATGTTATTTCCCCCTGAAGCAATGTTTGTATGAGCCTAAGCAAGCTCTGGAGACTTGGTTAACGCTACAACCCCTTTCAAATCTGAAATGGCTCCCTGCCACCTCATGGTTCCGGGTAGGAGGTAGAAATGACCCAGTGAATGAGGAAATGAGACGACTGGAGCAAGGAAGAGAGGCAGGGATTGGCTGGAAGAGGCACAGCAGTGTTTAATTTTGGACATAAAAGGACAGGTTTTGGGGAGTGTACACCTGGAAGCAATGAGAAAGGCGGGAATCCAATTAGATGTATGTAAGGCCGACAGAAGGAACTGAACCTGGGACCTCTGGAACTCAGTGCATGAGCCTCTACAGCTTGAGGTAAAAGCCAGCTGGCTCTCAGCTAAGGCCGTAGAGCAAACCCATTTTCTCTCTGTACGTGGCCCAAGTGCCGCTCCATACGATAGCGCACCACACCCAAGAGGGGTTTGAGTGACATGTACCTAGACCAAGTGCCCAGTGTGCCATGCTCAGAAAGCACAGTAAGATCAGGAAAGAGGTTATGTCTCTTTGATAGTCCGAGGATATTTAGGAAAGCGGGCCCAGCAACTTGGAAACAAATAGTTCTACACAGATGCACCAGGAAACAAAATATCAGGTGCCTCTATGAGTAATGAGCCGGAGGAGCCTGTCCCGGATCTGTCTGGTCCTCACCCCATAGATGATGGGGTTCAGCATGGGGGGCACCAGGAGGTTGACGTTGGCCATGAGAATGTGGAAATGAAGGGGCACATTCCGGCCAAAGCGGTGGGTGAGGAAGGAGAAGAGAGCTGGGATGTAACAGATTAAAATGACAGCGATGTGGGAGCCGCAGGTCCCAAAGGTCTTGAGCCGGGCGTCCTTGGTGGGAAGGCTAAAAATTACCCTGAGGATCTGTGTATAGGACACAGCGATTAAAACCATGTCCATAGCGGTCACTAAGATTACCACAGAGAGGCCATAGTAAGAACTTACCCGGGTGTCGGCACAGGCCAGGTTCACCACGGCCATGTGCTCACAGTACGAATGCGGGATGACGTTGGTTCTGCAATACGGCCACTGCTGTGCCAGAAGGACACAGGGCAGTACAAGCACACCACTGCGCAGCATCACAGCCAGGCCGATCTCGGCCACAACGAGGTTCGTCAGGACAGTGGAATGTCTCAGGGGATGGCAGATGGCCACATAGCGATCAAACGCCATGGCCACGAAAATCCCATACTCCACCACTGAGAAACAGTGAAGGAAGAACATCTGGGTGAGGCAGGCACTGAAATCGATCTCCCTGGAATTGAACCAGAAGATGCTGAGGGCTTTGGGCACAACGGACGTGGAGAGGACCAGGTCGGTGACGGCCAGCATGCCGAGGAAATAGTACATGGGTTCGTGGAGACTTGGCTCCTTCTTCACAATGAACAGGATGGCAGAGTTCCCCAAGAGGGCTATGGCGTACATGGCGCAGAAGGGGATGGAGATCCAGACGTGGGCTGTTTCCAGGCCCGGAATGCCCAGCAGGATGAAGGCGGAGGGGTTGGTGAAGTTGGTGGTGTTGGAGATTGACATGGAGCAAGAGGGAGAAGGTGTCTAAGGCGGAGACAGAACAGCGTGTCCTGCATGAACCGTATGTTTCCGTCTTCAGTGTGTGCCCAGAGCAATGGCTGCTGTACAAACGCCTGGATGGAGAGACAATATTAACATGAGACCTTCCATGCACTACTGGACGCAGCTCTCACGACACGTAGTGGTCATTGTGCACCCATTAGAAACGGAAAATTGAGTTATTCCGAGGAATGAATTATGAACAGCCGCCACAATTAATGCCAATCTCATATTTGACAGCGCTCCGGGTGTTCCTGATTAGAACATAAGAACATAAGAATGGCTGTACTGGGTCAAACCAAAGGTCCTTCTAGCCCAGTATCCTGTTTGCCGACAGTGGCCAGCACCAGGTGCCCCAGAGAGGATTCCTACACATGGGGGTGTGGGAAGCTGTCCTTGGCACCAAGAAGACGTGTGCATGAGGGAACGGGTTATCCCGCATTATTCCTTACTGCACAGAAACCCACGCTAGAGACTCCAGGCTTGGGGGGTTCCCCATTCACCCAAGTGTTTAAAATTTCAGTGGGATAAACCAGTCCTTTGCCAAGACACAGACCAGGTGGAACCATTCCAGCTAGGACGTGTCAGGGAAAAGACCTGGTGTTATTGACAGCAGCTCCATGGAAACAGCAACTCATTCGCAGCAGGGGCCCACACAATGACAACCATAGGCCGTCTGCAAGCCTGCAGAGAGGGAGCACGGGGGGCGGTTGCCCTAGCGGCTGGTGATCCTAAGGGGACCGGGGCTTCCAGGTGCTCCTACTGCTACTGTGCCCCCTGTGCGTGAGCCTGGCAGCCCCCCAGTCTGGGTCACGATCTCCCTCCTAATTTGGCCTGTGAGGACTCTTGGCTGGAGGCATCTCCCTGCGCTGGGCCTCTGCCCAGGGCTCCCTGGCTCTCCTCCTGCTGCTCGCTGAATGCAACTCCCGGCTGCTCCAGTCCCAGCTACGCTCTCTGCTCCTGGGCTGCTCCGGGCGGCAGCCCTGCCCCAGCCAGGCTCGGCTATCTGGCCTGATCCTCAGGTTGGCCTGGCCGGTCCAGCTCTTCTCCCCTGCTCAACACAGGCCCCGGCTCTCCCCTCAGCTCGGCCCCACTCTGACCCAGGCGATTTCAGCTCGCATGGAGGACAGGGCCCCACTGGCTTCCTGGCTTGCTCATTAGCCAGCCAGCCAGCTCCCACCCCCGAGATTTTAGAAGTGCCCAACAGACCCCACACACACACACACACACACACACTGCTTCTCTGGCACAGGAAAGGCCAGAACCGAGGGAACGGGGAGCAATTGGTACCAAAAGGAGAAGCACCAGGCAAGCACTAAACATTGGCCATTATCAACCTGGATCAGGGACGTTAAAATCATCAGGGGCCGATCCCTATTTGGCAGGGCTCCGTGTCACAAAAACGCGGGTCTAAGGCGCATTAACCAGCCACGGAGTCCTAGGAAAGGGTGGGGCCGATTTCTCGAGGCTGAGAGGAAACGTGCCAGGGTCCGGGACAAGGTCGATGGGTTCAAGGAACAGGTTCATTCGGCCTTTGGAAAGAAGCAGCATGAAGTCCGGTCACTCCTCACGTCCAGTCATCCTGCGTCTGTCAGTAGGTGGCTGAGCGACCAGAGAACACACCCGTTGCAATGGTGCAATGTCCTGTTATGAGGTTGTTTGGCTCAGTTCTGCTCACCCGGTACTCCTGACAGGAAAGGAGGTTAGGGGATGGGCGATCACCCCGCTCTGCCTGCCTGGCATTGCGATGGGGGAGCGGGCTAGCCACCAACCCCTCTCCCTTTCTGGAGCACTGGGTGGGCAGAACGGGGCAAGCACCAGTACTCCGACTCCACCGAGCCCGGCCTCAACCAAATACACGGGGAAGGGTTGGAACTTAACTTCATTTACCACTTTGATACTTATGCCAATGCAATAAAGAGATAAATCAGTTGGCGCCCACACTGCCTTCCTCATCCGAATAACTTAACCCTCCAACCAAACAACGGAGCTGGCAATGGTTCTTACCAGCCTCTTGGAACTACTTCAACCATCTCCTCCCCGTCTTTTTTCTCCTTTTATCCCTTCTTTCCCCCTTCCCCTTCCCCTATTTATTCTTGGATCTGGACTTCTAATACTCCAGTCATCTGAAGAAGTGGGTTGTACCCAAGAAAGCTCAAGACCCCATCTACATGTCTGGTTAGTCTGTATGGTGCTACTAGACTATCCGTTGTTTTTTAAGTTTGTCTAACTCAGCTCCCGCTCTGAAGCTTTCGACCACGCTTCACAATCATCCTTGGTGAGGACGTGTTGAACATGTGTTTAAAATTATTTCAATCTTGTACTGTATGTAACGTCTTTTGGTCAGCAAAAAAATATCCCCAGAACCTAACTCCTGCTATTTCCAGGACATCTCCTGGGGCAATTGGATTCACTTAAATCATCCACAGCTGAGCCACTTAAATGCAGCCACCTCAGGGCTGGAGCCAGTGTGGAGGGGTGCACAGCAATAAGCGACATTTTGGCCCATGATGCTGGAGCCAACTCATCCCAAATCTAGCAAATGCCCTGGGATGGTCAACGGCTGTGCTGAGATGCAAGAGCCAGAGAACCATTCTCTGTCCACCATGCCCATATTACACTGGGTCTGTGGAGCAGGGGAGCTCCTCAGCTGGAGATGGTACCTGTGTATCTTGAGCTGGAACAGCCTTCCCTGCGACTGCCTCTCAGGTAGCCATGATCCGCACTGCTCTGACCCAGCTGGCCCTGGGGTGTGCCCCATTTATAACAGCTCCGTGCGCTCCCAGCAGGCTTTGCTCAGCCTGTGAGGGAAAAGTGGACATCGACCTTTCCACAGGCTGGAGACCCGCCTGTCTGGGCTGCTGGGCTATTTACGCAGCTTTCGGAGTAAACAGCAATTAAGGGCCCTTCCCAAAGGGAGAGGAGAACTCCCGGGCTCTGGGCTGAGTCAGGGAGGAACTGGCTGCTCTGTGCATTTGTGTGTAATTAACAATTGTAGTTAATGAGGAAGAAAACGATGGACAATGTGAAGATGTTCAGAGAGTCTGATGCCCTGGAAATGCCCAGCATGAGTGAACAGAGAATAGAGAGACTGATCTGGATAGTGCTGTCCGTGGGAAGGTGCTCTTTGCAGACAGCACCTTTCACTGAATGATCAACACCACCCTAGCAAACTGACTCTGAACATATCCCCATTGTACAGAGGGGTAAACTGAGGCATGGGGAGACATGACTTGACCAAGATCACCTAGAAGCTTGAGTGTCAGGATGTGAGATGGAATTCAGCTGTCCTGACTAGCCTGCTGTATCGAGGGTGTCTCTGCCACGCTGGGAGGGAAATGGACTCCCGCTCGGGCAGGGCCTGTTCATTGGATGGGGGGCAGAGGAAAGGCTGAAGAGGGAGCCTGAGTTCGGCCACCTTCTCCCAGTGAATCTGCGGGTTTCAGAATGAGCTGGAGTGTGGGAGCTTCCCCCTCTTGTGTGGAGTGAACTCCGGGACACCACTTCCCCTTCAACTCACACACCTGCCCACCCAGCACGGTCCCTGGGGTCGCTCTGGGGGGATGGAGTCACTAAAAGTAACACCCACAGCACGTTCCTGTGGGTTCAGCGAAGCCGGGGGCCTGTCCTGGGACACAGACCTTGCGCTCCCTCTGGAGCTGCTGTGGAACAAGAAGGTCCTCTAGGGTGGATGGAGATCGGATTGGTGTTGGTGACGGACCGGGCCATGTCTGGGCACAGCTGAGGGCATCCGCTCAGGGCGAATTGCTCAAATCCGGGGCTCCTTACAGCTCCCAGACTGTGACCTCTCCAAACAGGCCACAAACTAGTCCCACAGAGCGCTTCAGCTGCCTGCCTGAAGCCTCATGAGCAAAATCCCTCCGACACCCCAGCAATATCCATGCCTCAGATGGCCCCGGGCCTCATACACAGGTGGGGGGGTCCTAGCACCCAATCCCACCTACCCCGAACAAGTTCTATCCGGTTCCAAGAACCCAGCCACAGATCCCTGGTCAATTTACCCTCTGGACCTTACCCACAAATCACGCTGGGCCAATCCTTTAGAATCTAAAACTAAAGGTTTATTATCACAAGCAAGAAAAGCATGAGAGTAAGGTCGTTAAAGGAATAGTACGTTACATGCACCGAATCTCCCAGTCTTCAGTGCAGGCTCTAGCAGAGATATTACAGCTGCTGGTTTAAAAGTTCTTGTTGCACATCCTAACATCAGGATGGGTTCACAGGTCTTCCGGGCTCTTCAATCCCTGCACTGCTGCCTCTGGGATGAAGTGCTGAGCTGAGAATAAAATGGCATCGACCACATGGCCTCTTTATACCTCCTTCCTGGCCTCTTCTGGTATGCAGCCAGTCACCTGGCCCTCAGCCTTTCTCTGCTGGCCGCTCTTAGGTGTCCGCCCTCATGCTTTAGGTGTGTCCTTGGCCCATTGAGTGCCATTGTCCCAATGCTCAGCCACATTCAGAGAAATATTCAGTATCCACACAGACTACAGATTCCTAACTACACACAGACATTATACAACCACATAAATAGCTTACATAGGATTATCAGATAATAAGCTTCTATTCAGCACCCCACATGGCTCCTTTTTACACCATTGTTGTGGCCAACACCCCCCTATGGGTACAGCCATGATCTGGCTGCTTCCCTCAAATTCCAGTAACATGACAGCAGAGCCCCTGGGCTTTGAAATACAGGAACGAGACTGAATAAATTCTCCTTTCTGAACCTTACAAGTGGCCTGTGCTCACTGGTATTCATGTCATTAACACGGTGCAGCTGGAGAGCGGGGTTTGACCTTCCTCTGCAGCTAAAGGCAAGGAGGCATAGGCCCTGATTCGGCCGGATTGTTGTGTTGATTATTTATGACCGTCTTCTGCATGGTGGAACCCTCCACATGCCCCAGTCCATGTCAGGGCCTAGGTGTGCCGCCTTTTCCAAACAC